AGCACCTTGAAATGTCAAGAAATGCAAAAACATTCAAGAGTTTTTTCTGTATGTATGGATGTTAATGTGTGTGTGGGCATGATTTTGTTCACTCTCTTTGAAGCTTAATAATGCCTGTGCTTTCTGCTGAAAATTTCTGAAATTTTGCAAGCAGGTTTGTTTATTAGGGGGAATGATGCTANTTCCGTAAATAGATTTTCAAGAAATTTATGAAAAAATGTTTGAAAAATTTTAAGTGAATTTCAATATTTTTCCATTATTTCAATAAAGAATGCTTTATAAATTAAATCTAATTAATCAATCAATCAATCAACATTTATTGTCTATTGGGAATTACTTCCCTATTACAAGGGGTTGTAGAAACATGTATCCATATTTATTTTTAATAAAACTATACATTTTCTTTAATTATTTAGTTTGCATTTATTTCTCGCGTACATATGCACATATTCTTTAATTTAATTTGTTTTGTTATTATAAGTTTCTACTATTTTACAAAAATAATTATAAATATTATATAATTCTTTTTTACTCATATTATTAAATTTTTTTAACAATTCTATTAGCGAGTTGCAATTATAAGAGCTGTTTATATTATAATGTGCACGAATTTCCTTTAACTTTGGACACGTTAATATTAAATGATAAGGTGTTAAAACGTCGACGTTACATAGAAAACATTTAGTTAATAAACTTATATAAGTATTATTGACATACAGCGAATTTTTGTTTAGACGAAGTTGCATTATAAGTCGTTTTATATTCAAATTTACTGGTTGCCATATATATGGTTGCATTGAAGGAATTTCAAATATTTCCAAGTACCACGGATGATATTTACTGTTGTATAGGGAATTCTGATCTTTAATTATAGATTGAGCTATAGCTGATTCTAACATCAATGAGTATCCTGATTTCCAATCTTGAATTTTGTCCTTGAATAATAGATCTGATAAATATAAATTATAATTTAAAAGAACCCAAGAAAACTGACACACGACAGTTAAATAATCTAATAATACATTGATATTAAGCTATTCATTAACTCAAAAATGTTACAGTTTTTTGAAATATCTATTATTGAAAAGAAAAATTTATATTTTTAAAAGTTTCTCATCTCTAATTAATAAACAAAAAAAATCTGATTTTTAAGTAAAAAAAAAACATTAAAAAAATGATTTCTGAATTTAAAACTTAATCTTATAAATCAGAAACTTGAATGTTTGAATATATATATATATATATATAAATTTATTTCTTTTGCAACATTAAAATATTGCAAAATACTTTAAATTTTGCAGAGTACTGTACATATTAGGAGGATTTATGATACATAGCTTTTCTTACTAAACTGTTGATGCTTTTCCCAATCTCATTTTTGTTAGTACAGGTTCTGCAACAAAAGCCAACAATTTAATAGAAAGCTTCCCTGGATTGCTAATTATTGAAATGAATCAATAACAGAGACATTTTATGATTTAAAAAATGGCAGAAAAAGTTCCTCAAAAGATGATACTGCTAACCAATTAAGTGGTCTGACAAATATTAAATGAGGATTGCAAATCTTTCCATTGGAATGTGTGTTTACAGTTCATAGCTACTGTAGAATGCTCCTTTTTCTAACAATGATAAAAGTTTTCCATCAGGAATACCCTTATTGAATTTTAATGTTTTAAAAGAAGAGCATTCATTTTTAAATTGCATTTAATTGACTAGTCTAGTATCATAGTGTACATACATTAGCTGAAAAAATTTTAATTCATTTCTTTAAAGAAATTAATTTTTAAAAATATATTTTATTCATTTATCAAAATTATAATCATTATATTTCAAATAATTTATAAATATTAAAATGTTTTATGAACATAATAGTTAAATATGATTTGCTACAAGTAGAAATCCAAAAATATTTATTTTATCATTAAAATTATTTTATTCCTGTATCCAAAATATCAAATTAAGAAAAACAAATAATTAGATCCAGATAGACTGAATAATTTTAACAGTAAACCACCATTTCTTAGAATTCTATTCAATTTATACCTCAAAAAATTTAACAAAAACTTGACTAGTAAACAATGATGAATGTTGTGCTGCAAATTCTAATAACTGAAGTGCGCTTTTTCTTCTTTCTTCTATTACTTCTGCAGCAAATCTACCTACAAATATAAATTAATACACTTTACAATTAAAAAAAAAAAAACACAAAATTAAACATATCCAATTTTTAAGAGCTGAAAAAATAAACCAAAACAAGTAAAAATAGTGATCAACACATTGTACATTTAAAGACAATTACCTAAATAATTATTTCAATTTTAGATAATAAAAATTTAACCTTACTGATTTCGTAAATTAAATATTAGTAAACAATATCTATGTAACAGATGATTTAACTAGAATTATTACAATTATTTAAATTCATATTGATAGTAAGCTGATTATTAGAAACAGTGATAGAAAATATATCCTGGCAATAAATTATACAAAAAAATCCTACATACAGTACTTTTAAATAAATATGATAAGAGCAAAGAATTTACTATCAATAAATTATTAATAGAGTATAACAGTTAATTTTATTGTTCCACCAATGACCGCCATATGGCAGAGAATCAACTTATAGATAGTTCTGATGCTTTTATATAAAACAGACATTAAATATAAAATAGAAATTTAAATTNATTTAATACTTTCTTATCAGTTTGTAATATAACTTATGAAAGAGCAATTTTCTCCAAGAACTTTTTTGTACTTAATGTTTTTATTTCATTTTGTAAATTTAACATTCATAGAAATTATATGTTATTCCTTAAATTCTTCAAAACTTACAATTACTGGTAAACAAATTGTAATTAAACAAATTTAGATAATATCTCATTGTATTATTACTAGGCATTTTATAAGAAAATTAAACTGAGCTCCATTGCATAGAAAATTAAAACTGTGTAAAGAAAGGGTTTAAAACTGATCTAAATCTAAAATAAAAAATTGTTGTAGAGATCAATATAAATTGACAGCAATCAAAAACTTGAATGGTCTATAGTGCATGACTGGCTTACAACCAGCAGTCAGCCAATAGATTTTACGTGGCANCCACAGCACTAGCGAAAATTTAAATTTGCCGACTGGAATGCTTTCGGATAACTAACTTTCAGATAAACGACTCTCTACTGTATACGCAAGTCCGAATTCCTTCCTTAACAAACAGTTTTTCCACTTTGGTCACAACCTTCCTCTCAATGCAAACAGATTTCCCTTTAGCTCCGAAGAACAAAGAGACAATCTCTCACCACGCTCTTCTCCTTTCCCCACTAACAGTTCCACTCAAGATCTCCTCACCTGATCTCTCAAAGCCTTCCTCTCGTATCTGCTCAACAATCCTTCTCACGAAAACCAAAAAAAAGTCCTTGCACATGTTGTCTTCTCCTTTTTATATCCTCCACCATCCGAGGCATACTCCTTAGTCACGTGATTTCATTACAACCAATCACGAGCCAGTGAGTGGTTGCCGAAGAAGGCATGCGACAAACGGAATGTTTTACAAGTAAACAGGTATTGCGACAACAAAAACTCATACAGAAACGAAACCGATATACAAGATATATAATTACAAAAACCAAAAAGAACAATTTAGTGACAGAGCACTACAATTTGCTCTCTGAAATGAGGAATGCAGATCAGACACCTGTGTTTTTCGATATGCCAAGAAACACTACTGTGGAAAAAGAAGGTTCTTGATCAGTCATCATCAAACGAACTGGCTGAGAGAAGTAAAGATACACAATAATGTTAGCCATGACCACTGACAGATGAAAATTGCCACTGTAGGTGATTTTCAAAAGAAAGACCTTACCTGAAGGCTTTAAGGGTCTGCTGGGTATTCAAGTCCAAGTGCAAGAAAAGGGATGGATGGATAAAGATTTAAAGAAAGATTGGGTGCAGAGGAGGTCTGGTGCCCTATTTTGCTGAAAGTCACTCCTTATACTGGATAGTTTCTGAAGCCATCTAAATGAAGAAGTGAAAAAAGTACTACAAGATGGACAAATGGATGGCTGGAGGTAATCACAACTTGACACCTAGTGATAATTCAATGGCTGAGTTTGGAAAGGATGTGTGAATGGATCATGAAGGCTTGGAAATTAATTTCATTGACAATTGAGAGGAGTTTTAAGAAAACAGGTATTTCCAATTCTATGGATGGTTCTGAGGATGACTTGATCTGTCAGGATGCCGAAATTAATGACGACAATAAGTCCGCTGCATCGAACAGCGAGAGCAACACATCAGACCAAGAAAATAAGGTATGTTGATAATTCATTTATATTTTGATTCAATATAATGAATAGCAAAATTAATTTCCTCATTTTATGATTTCTGTTAAAATTTTTAAAGTTACTGCAGTCATCATTAATTTAATTTTCTTTTTATTTTTAGAGTGTACGTGTCTATCAAAAATGGCCACATACTGTATGATGTGAGAATTCAAAATATTCAGAATATGTATGCAAAGTTTTTAAAATATTAAAACTATCTTATAAAATCATGACTTCTGTTAATTAATCAATATTTCTTTTAAGAATAAATACTGATATATTCTACCTTCAATAATAATTTTCACCGTATTTTTTGCACCTTAATTTTCAATTAGTAAAAAATGGCAAAAATAGTGCAAAAAACGTGTGTGGAAATACAGTATTAGGAGAATGGAGAGAGAACAAATTCTTTCTTGCTCTACTGGCCTTAATAATGGAAATGAGTCAAAATAAACTTGAGCAAAGATGAAGACCGAGAAATGGAATAATATAGTACTAAAATATCAAAATATGCATGGCTCTTGGCCAGTGATATATCAATAATGTTTGTGATATTTTTTTATTCTGGATTTTAAAGAGAAAATTATAAAATAAAACTTTAATTCTATCATAAGAGAGAACTGATTGCTATATAATTTTATTTTCTAAGAAAATATATTTAAGATTGCTAAAATAAAATTTTACCTCCAGCACAAGCCGAGATTATGCAAACAGGATAAAGCTATAATTAATTCCGCTATCCAGATCCGCACGCAAGATTCTGGTAAATATGGTTGATTTGATGCAGCTATTGTTAACTGTTGGAAAACTTCTGATAAATGACGAATTCGTTGTGATGTCAAACTACCCACAGAAGAAGAAAGTCCTTCAGTTTGATGGATTGGTAATAAATTACCACTATGTTTTGACTGTGATCTAAATTTTCTATTATCTTTCTAAAAACAAAATATAATAATAATAAGTTTTCATTTGAAAATTATGAAAATTTTAATAAAAATCAATGATAATTACTAAATTCTAGAGTAGTTAAATATTAAATTACATTTAATTTACTAAAAATTTGTATGTTATTAAAAAAATATTAAAAAATAATTTGCCAATTTTACATATATTAAGTCATTAATAGAAATTCATAAAAATTTGTAAAAGAAAAATCTTAAGTTTTATAGCTGAATTATTTTTTTATTATTATTATTATTATAAGATGCAGTTGCTACAAATTGACTTTTTAAATCATCATTGTTTTTATTTAAGATAATGATTATAATTATATCTTTGAAAACAATGCAATCAACTTGCACAATAGAAACATATATACAGAATATATAAGCTACTTTCAATATTTTCAAGAGAAATAATACAGATTTATGTAATTAATAAACAATCTTCTTTCTTTTCATTAAGAGTCTAAATTAACTAGAATCTAAAATCAGTCCAGACTAATTATTTCAAACTAAATGAGTAGTTTTGAACTGTTTTTGTAAAAGCATTAATTTGTTTAATGTTATTTATCATTTGTATATTTAGGAAATGATACGTGTTTTATTTTTCTTGAAAAAGTACCTAAAATTTATATTTCAAAGTTCTTCAAAATTCACAATTCTTTTATTTGTACTGTGTTCCAAAATAAATGAAAATTATTAAACATTACTTTTAAATTCTCCTGATTTGGATGGTGAGAGTTCTTATATCAAAAATATTTAATATTTTATATTATTATTTTTATAGGTAAACAGTTTTATCTTTTATATCTACAATTTTTTTTCCTGCACCATCCAAGTCACAGATTTTTGTCTAGTTAATTATTTTTAAGAATTTCAACTTATTTACTTTTTTCATCATACTTATTTTTTATCCCCCCTTTCGTCCACTGAAAAAACAACTGATTTAATTTATAATATTTTCCATTCTACAATAAAAAAATTCCTTCAATTCTGCAAAGTTAAAATCTCTTCATATAAGTGGTTTTCTCATCACTTAAAGAGATTAAGAAACCTAACAAGAAAACAGTGGAATAGATGGAAATGAAGTGGGAATCCCTGTAATCTTCATCAAATCATACAAAAACAATATTACAATGAATGCAGTATGTCTTTCTATAATTATTTTAACACCATTATTTCCTCCTTTGCATTGGACCACCACACTTTTTGAAGTTTCATACCCAAATTTTCTAAAAAGCTCCCTAGTACAAATATCCCTATTCCCAATGATACAATATTTGCTGTTAAACCTTAAAACCAGATTTTTTCAGATTTTATCCGAGGCCAACTTCATTTCACTTTCCTTACATACCTTTACCTACCATCATTATGTTTCTCTTTCTGAAATTAAAGAAGCAATTGACATCTTAAACCCTTCTAATTTTAGTCCTGATAACATCCCTGCAACTTTCTATAAAAAATTAAAAATCCATAGCAGCTGTTATCTTATCAAAACTATTTTCCAAATTTTTGTAATCCAGCCATGTCCCTGAACAATGGTATTCTGTAACAATTAAAGCTGTACATAAAAAAGACAAAAATTCTTCCAAACTTGCACCAATTCAACACTGCAATCTTAGACATCATTCAACTACCACAAATTTACTGGATACTGGATTCAATAAAAGTAAATTTATTGAATCCAGTTGAATTTACATTTTATTGAATTATAGATTCAATTTTCAAGAATCCATAATTCTTGAAAATTTTGAAAAGAAACATGCAGCTTATGTTGTACAGTACATATAGATGTAGCTTTTGACTCCATTCTCCCAAATATCTTTCTTTCCTAACTCAGTGATCACTTTGACATTGATCCAGTTTTCCATTCTTAGTTGAATAATTATTTCTAAGCCCATTCTTTTAAAGTTAGACTAAATGACTGAATTTCTTTACTTTCCACCCATCTGGGGTTCAACAGGGATTGATCCTTAGTGGCCTATTTTTCTCTGTTTACATTGATCAATTACTTAACTAAATCAAGTCCACTATTATTACTTATGCCAATGATAAAAAACTGATTAACCATGATCCAACTGTTCTTCAATTTGATTTACATCTGCTATCAACTTTATTTGCAAGGAAAATGTTAGAATCAACATTAATAAGACCATAGTCATGTGCTTCTTGTTGATTCAAAACTCTTCTCTTTCCCTTTTTGTCATTGATGTCAATATTCTGGAATATGTCTGCTCCTATAATGATCTTGGCATTATATTTGACAATAGATTAACTTTTAATTTTCATGTTGATAAAATTGTTAAAGCACTAGCAATTCGTAAAGGTATTTTATGACGTTTTTGCAAACCTATCTTATCTAAATCTGTCTTACAATCTTTTCCTTTTTGAGAAATTACAATCTATTATTGATTATTGCCTGCCAATTTGGTCTATGACAGTCCCTTCCCTTCTCAATAAAATTTTGAGAGAACTCAATAAGATATATTTATTGTTAAATAAACTAAGTAATCTACCATTTACTAACAATCTAAATGTTGCAAGGTTCAGGCTAGGTTTTCCCAATATACATGAAAGAATCAAACACCATGATTGTATACTCTATTATAAATATTTTAATGGTTTTAAATGATTTCCTGCCTTCATCTTAGTATACCCATAAAAAATACACATGAAACCACTTGTTTTTTACTCCTTTTTACTGCTTATCTATTTCACATAGATCTTTTTTCTATCACATAGCCGGAAATATGAATAATATAGAAGATGTGCTTCACATCGAATTTTATGTTATAAAAGACATCTTGTCAATGCTTATTATATAATTCTTAATGGTTTGTAAATGCAACTTTATTAACATATTCTATTGCATTTCAATTCTTTTGCACTTCATGCAAATGAATTTTATGGCAATATTCTGTACTCCAGCTCGGTTATTATATTGTTTTTAAATTTTTATGTTTTAGTTCTAGCATTATATGTATTTAATATTTTAAACATTTTTTGTGCAATTTTCATTTATGTTTTATTATGTCGGTTGATTTTCTTTTTATGTATTTAATTATTTTTTGTTATAGGTCTTGTTATTTATTGGGGGAGGTGATCTGCTATCCCCTGACATCTAATGTAGACAAAATAAATAAAATAAATAAATAAATGTAATAATTAAATTAAAACTTACATTTTCAAGGATATATTTTTCTTCTTTAACAACTGAACTGTTCTGAAGATTTTTATTACTTTCTGATAGAATGTCTTCAAAATGTGTTATATCTTCTTGCATGATTAAAGTATTAGCATTATTCATATCTTTTGATATTGGAGATGTGGCCTTTAAAGTTTCTTCAACATTATGTAACAATGTTTTTGAATTAGAAATAAGTAATTCAACACAATCATTACTTGAATATGGCACATGATCATTTACTAAATCTGGTAAATTGGTATCTTTGTCTCCTCTCAAACAACTACCATTTTTTGGAATATTTTCTGATGTTTTTGAATTATTGTTTTTCTGAAAAACTTTTGCCGACAAATCAGATGAATTTTCACTTGTATTAATTGTGATAGTCTGATCTAAAGGGGCAAAGCTGTCTTCAATACTCTGTGTATCTTCATTATCTTCATCTTTTTGAAAATTGATATGACATTTAGCTAATACAACAGTCTTTCCTGGCTCTCTTGATGCTGCATATTTTGTAAATAATGCAGTATAACTTGCTGGACAGACTGGAGCTGCTTCTAAATCAGAATCAACAGAACTGTTGTGACTAGATAAAGAAACACATTCTTTAACACCTAGAACATTTTTTATGTTATTTGTGTTTTCTGGAAGAGTTTCAAATTTCTTTCCAGTATAAACATTATTTGTAAGAGAATGTTGATTTGATTTATTCTCCATTATATATTCAGTAAATGGAGCACCACAATCAATACATGGTGACATAGGACTATGTTGCAAGTAGGAATTAACATAATCCCATAATCGGCCTCCTGAGGCATGCTGCAGTACTAAAAATATGGCATAATCAGTTTCATACACTTTATGTAATTGTACCATATATGGAATTTCTTGAGGAACAATATTTGGTGAATTAAAACTTTTTGCATCTGGCCTTTTGTATAACGACTGAAAAATATGAAATATAATTATAATATAGTTAATTACGCTATTTATGTTTAAAATATCTTTTAAACTTATATATTATACTACCTTTATCACATATGTTGAATTGGATACACTATCCAACACCAAAAGAACATGTCCCAAAATTCCAAGAACTTTGTAATTTGCCAACTCACTGAGTGATCCACGCAAACTACCAATATTGAGTTCTATTGTAGATGTCACTGTTATACGACTATCATTCTAAAATTAATAATAATAATAATATTATTATTGTTGTATTCAATAAATTTATTTATTTCAATCTAATAATTACATAATAGAATCAAAAATGATATACAGCCATACCCTTACTCCCTGATTTTGAAGTCACTCTACAACAAATGACATTCTTCAGTACTCATTGCAATATCCAAATCAAATAATCCTAGTATTACAAATTTCTTTGAAGCACATTTGTGAAAAATTTGAAAGTTGCATTAGTAAAAGTGGAAAGTACAGAATGATTCTGTTCCCAGCACCTGTTTTCATTTGTTTCAGTGGTATTGTGTATGTTCTAGTGATGGCTGTGCAGTTTAATGGTTTTTTTTTCACAAAATTTCAGTGCAATCTTAGGAGCTTATTCTTGATAGGTTCACTACATTGTGATAGGTTCACTACATTGTTTATTTTTATTGTTAAACAAATGATAAAGCTGGATTCATTATTGGTCTATTAACTATACAAGTTATAGATCAATAACAAATTTAGCTTTATCATTTGTTTATTAATATAATTTGGGCTTGATTTTCTATATAATTTTCATTTTTGTTCTGTTTTTATATGGTAATATTTAAACATAAAATGTATGTATGGTATCATTATAAAATTTTCATCACTATCTACTACATATTACAGAAAGTGCAATTTATATGGAATTTCTAATGTAAATATTAAACAATCTGATTCATTGAGTAACTACCTACAAACATATCCTTTAATGATCTCATTAAGGAATTGAGGTAGAGCACTAGCAAAGCCTCTTCTATGTGGCTTACAAAACTGTTCATTCTCAAAATTTGATCAATTGATTTTGATTAAACTTTGCCATTTTCCATTAATTGCAATTAGGAATCCAAAAACATAATAAAAAAAATGAGGGTCTATGACTTTGTTTTTGAGATACAGTGGGATCAAAGAGACAACATTCATGTTCCCTGATGTGATTGAGCATGGTATTTAGGACCAAAATAAAAAATAGATTGTGCATGCTTAACAGAGAATGAGTATGAAAAACAAACAAAACACAAAAACAAAGCAATTGACACCAACTGCTTTTTCTTAGATTGCCTTTCTGTGTTGGCAAGTGCAAGGATCATCTCTACCATGGCCAGCAGGTGCAAGGATAACCTCTGTATGGCTGGCAGGTGCAGGGATTGTCTCTTTCTTTCTGACTCTGCCTCAATTCTATCATAATATGACAAACTGCACAAAGTCCTAGTTAATAAAATAATTAGAGTTTGTAATGTTTAGTATCATGCTAAAAATATGAATTGATAAACACAGCAAAAACCTATTCACCTAATTGTCACTTGAAAAATTGGTTGGAGTTATTCAAATGAAAAGGAAAAGGGTTAGAATTTTTCCCAATATGTAAATTTCCAATGTTTGAACCATTTTTAAGAATGCATTANCAATGGCAATGTCGGCGGTGCACACTCGGTAAGTAATCCTACAATTTTTTGTTTATAGCGTAGTTTATACGGATTATTTCCACAAAAAATATACATATTTTGGAAATGTTGAGTCGGATTAGTCTAGAATCGATTAATTTTATGGAAGAAAACCTTTCAAACAGCCGTAGTCCATAAACTTGACACGTGTCGGGCTATGATTGGAAGGACTCGTAAGAAATCGGTTTCCTAAAGAATGGAACGTATCTATGATCTTATAGGGGGGTCAATTGTACTTATTATTAATTTTAATAAGAATTATTTCAAAGAGAAATTTAATAATACATTAATAACAACAACAATTACTTACTGCCCATCTATTTTCATCTTGTAAATGACCAACTACATATTTTTCATATATTTCTTCTGCCCGTGAAAGATATTGTGCAGTTTTTCTCCTAACAGCTTCTCTTTGAGCAGAATTTGTATCACCTAAAATACCAAAACAACAACTGTAATCTTATATGAGGAAAAAAAAAATTGCTATTCTTTAAATCAGTGATTCTCAACCACTGTGCCGCAACACTTTAGTGTGCTGCCACTGTAAATACCCATACATAAGCAACATCAGACAAGTAGTTAAATCAGTTCTAACTTCCTAGGGCACATTTGGAAATTGTAACTGGTGTTACCAGTAACTGCCGGTAGTTACCAAGTGATTATTATATTAGAAAATGTGACCTAAATAACCAACTGCATTTAAAAATCACTGTTATGATATCACCAGTTGTCCTGTGGTACTTGCTGAAGTAACTTGCTGGCAAATTTTTAAATTATTAAAAGTGTACCATGACGAAAAAAAGGTTGAGAATCACTGCTTTAAATTTACAAATATATACAATATATATTTAATTTAATTTAATTTATTTGTTAAAAATTTTTATCTCTACTTTTTAACAATATGATCTTTTACAATAATTTTTGGTGATATCTAACTTATTTGAAAATATAAAATTATATTTTTATTAATTCTTAATATAAGTACAGTTGAAACATGTATGCAGATTATTATTTATATATTAATTTTTATTGTTGTGTTAATATTTGTAAACATTATTTTTAAAATATATTTTATTGAATATATTAATGAATTCAGCAATGTGAAATGAATTTAATCCAAGTAAAATTGATCATTCTTCCAGAAGATATTTTCAGACTTATTCAAGTTAAAGCTTTTTACAAAAAAAATAATAACCAATTTTATAACTCCAATCACCCATTTAATTTATTCAAAACCATTTAACAATAAAGAATGTACTAATCAAATAACAAACCAAATTTATTATCAGGCTAATTAAAAATACAAATGCTATATAATTTTGGACTAAAGGTAGATGATCAAGTCATCATCTTACATTAAATTTAAAAATTAAAACTAAATTAATTAATTTAGAATATTCTGGAAGAAAAGATTGATTCAGAGCAGATCTCTAATTTGCAACTTCTTACCATGCAGTTGTGTTACCAATTACATCTCTGATCTTCACTTTCAAACTAATTAATTTAGAAGATATAACCATACCAATCACTTGCCTATATCTAAACAATCTAAATGTTGCATACATTGTACATTTTGTACTATGACTATACTGATTAAATACTGATATGGTGCATGACTATACTGATTAAAATACTTGCACAAATATTAATGAAGAAGCTATTGCACAAAATCAACATTCACAATGATTCATGTGAATATATTCATTTTTCAGATATGTACTGTATTTCTGTCTAGGCTCTTAATGCACTGTGTCCAAACAAATTCCAATTCATGGAGTACTAGCTTATCAGATGGTGCCAGGTTACCAGATATTCCAGATTATTGGGTACTGGATTAATGAATTTCAACTGCATCAGATTGTGGATATAATATATTTTGGAATTATTTCTAGATAATACAATAATCCTATTATTCAAACATTTTCAAAACTGATTTTCAGTTTTTATGATAATTTTACCCAGATATATTACAGGTATAAAATCTGAATATATTTGTTGATGCTATGAATATAAAACAATAAATCTATATATATTCTAATGTAGCACACTGATTATTATTTACCTTGAACACCTTGTAAAAGTATACCAATTGCTGATCTGTAATAACTAAAAGATAATACAAAGTCTCCAGCAGCTTCAAACTCATGAGCTTGACTAATCAAATTTGCTGCTTCAAACAAGTATGTATTTTCAGGAGCATTAAGAGGAGATGGTAATTCTTCTAATTCAGGAGATGAATCTTCTTTATTTTCAACTTTTGATGATGTATCAACAAGTGGATCAAATTCTTGAAGATCAGGAACAACATGAGATGAAGAGTCTTCTAAGATATGTTCAACAGAAAGTTCACTATCTTCTGCATAATCTAATTCTGCAAATGGTTTAGGAAATGATAAAGTTGGTGAAGAAGTAGCTTGATCATCAGAATGAATGTAAGTACATGATTGAATAGCTGATAAAAGCCAACTGTTACTCTCTCCTTCTAAAGAATTCAAGTGATCAGTATTTTTCTCTAGGAGAGGATCAAATAAAGCTAAATCATTGCTTGGAAGAGGAGTTCCCAGTCTAGAATCATCATCAGTAAATGTAGTCCTGTCATCATCATCAGAAGGATGAGAACTGAGACTTATATCATCAGCAGTTTGGCAATGTTCCCATATACCTCCTAATAAATTACTAGGTTCAGCAATGTGTTTTTCTTCTCTAAAAGAGTGGGGAAAAAAATTAAAATATTTTAAAAATCAATAAGAGTTTTAAAATCTGTAATCAAATTTTAAAATGTTTTGGCATCACTGAAAGATTATTAGTTAACTAATTGTAAATTTAAACAAATAATTATTGAAAATTCAAAAAAAAATTGTAATAATTTAGTAATATTAAATTTTTACTTTTTTACTACTTATATAATTATTAAAATGCATCCCATAAATATAAAGGCACTAATAGATATCTGTATAAAATCATTCACATTGAAAACTCTGCAAAAATAATTTATTTTTGGCTTGCTTGAACTTTTACAAATGCACATATTTCACTAGGATATTGCACAACTTTGTTGTATAGCCATAGAATTGAGGCAGAGCCAGAAATCAGTGATCCCTGCACTTTTTAGGCACATAAGAAGCTATTATTGTACCTGACAGACATGGACAGGTAAACTTTGCACTTGTGCCACAAAAGAGGCTATTCTTGTATCTACTGGCAATGGGAAACACGATCCTTGCACTGGCTGGGTATGAACAAATGATCCTTGTGCATGCCAACATGGAGAGGTGATCCAAGAACAAAGCAGTTAATGACAATTGCTTTGTTCTTGTGTTTTGTTTGTTTTTCATACCTATTTTCTATTAAACACAGGCAATACTGTTTTTATTTTTGATCCCTAGACCTAAATTTCATTAGGTGCATTCAGTTGCATCAGAGAGCATGGACATTGTCACTTTAATATCTTTGTATATCAAAAACAAAGTCATAGACTCCTATTTTTACCTTCCTGGCTCTATATATAACAGAAGAAAAGTATGGCAATTGGTCAAAAAATGACCCTCCAAGATTTTTACATTTTTGGACTCAATGCACCTTGAAATGTCAAGAAATGCAAAAACATTCAAGAGTTTTTTCTGTATGTATGCATGTTAATGTGTGTGTGAAGGGGCATGATTTTGTTCACCCTCTTTGAAGCTTAATAATGCCTGTGCTTTCTGCTGAAAATTTCTGAAATTTTGCAAGCAGGTTTGTTTATTAGGGGGATTGATGCTATTAAATTTTCATGATTAAAGGTTGATAGGTGGGGAGATAAAGGAGAGTTGTGTGATATCTCGAGTAGAGCCAGACATGATGACAATTTTATTCATTATTAGCATTTACAATTTTTTGTAAAACCCATCCCTACCCTCAAAATTAAGCTTTTTGCCATTTTATAATAATTAAAAATATAAAAAGTTTTTAAATGAAATATTGTAACAGATAGTGCCACACATGCAGTTCTAACTGGGACAGTTAAGCAACTTGTCATTGGATTTTTTTACATTTAAAAGGACCCACATTACATTTCTGAATTCCTCATCTCAATTAATGGAAAATAGCAAANTTTCGGTTATCCAACTTTTCAATTATCCGACCAACCCCAGTCCCCAATTGAGTCGGATAATCGAGGCTCTACTGTAACATGCTTACAAGCTTTGATATGAAATTAAAAATAAATTTCTATCTATAAAAATCCATTTATTTTCAAAATTCTTATGTCAAATTTAAAAATTCATTGAAATCTATTCATTTTTAATTAAAATTTTTCAAATACTTAAAATAGCTTATGATTTTTTACATATTAAATGAGTAAATGAACAACTATCAACAAACAACATAAAGAATTAATTAATATAAACGAGCATTTATTTATTGTGACATCACCATAATGCTGGGCTGTAATTTTTAATCATATTTTTAATTTAACTTAAAATATATGCTCTCCACCTCAAATTAGTAGTGACTTGTCCCTGTTCATCATACTTTTCCTGTAACAATAGAGATGTGCCGGTCATCTGTCTAACACCTTTCAGGGGACAATTTTTTTAACTGAAATAACATAACTTTCAGTTTGTGTTGGAAGTTCATATATAATTAATTGGGGCCTCCTGCCCCTAAGCTTTCCATATCTGGTCTCATCTTTCATCTACCTAACTCTGTTCTCAAGATTAAGGAAAGACCGATGGACAGACAACAGTGAGAATTTACAGGTCTACAATTTTTTCAAATTGCAGCCCAATTATAAATCCAGTCCAAAAAAAAAAATTTATGTTATTCCAAATGGAAATTAAAAATTAAAATGTGCTTCCAAGTATCATTTATGAACATTATTGTTAAANTTAAATGAAATATTGTAACAGATAGTGCCACACATGCAGTTCTAACTGGGACAGTTAAGCAACTTGTCATTGGATTTTTTTACATTTAAAAGGACCCACATTACATTTCTGAATTCCTCATCTCAATTAATGGAAAATAGCAAAGTTTTATCAAATATGCCCATTAAATTTTGAGAACAAACTTGATTCTATAAGCCCACAGAAGATGTGCTAATGACTGTAAAACATCGCACAACTTTGTTGTGCAATTCATATGATATTGCTTTGTCACTGGCACTTGTGAAATGGCCTTATATTTCAAAAATGAAACCATGGACTCCCACTTTTTATTACATTTTTGGATTCCTCATCACAATTAATATAAAATGGCAAAGCTTAACCAAAATTGATCAAACATATTTTGAGAACCAACACAATTCTGTAAGCCATATAGAAAAGGCTTTGCTATTGCTCTGCCTCAAAAATAATAACTATTTATTGAGACAGAAAAAATAAACAATTTTAAAGAATTACAATCAATTGGACTGCCCCAAAAATATAAAAACATATAACAAATTTAATTGAAACAATGATATGTTAATAAATTATGTGACAATGCCGAAGGACCCTCTCCCATACTTTGGCACCACAGGACCGAAGGGTCAACATCGTGTCGGCAAAGACCAAAATGACAAAGTTGTCAGGACTGACACCACTGTGTCTTCTGAGTAGACACAGAGACCGTTACATTTGCAGGTACATGCGAGCAGTTGCGTCTGTGGAAGCTTAGGGTTGGAATGGAGATGGTGGGAGATACCTGGAAGAAGTGCACTCCAAGAGGATATTCATTTAAGAAATACCCATTTATTGAGAGATGCTATTTACAGGATTTAAGACTGAGGGTCTAGCTTTCTCGCTAACTTGAGTAACCATCAAGGGGGAAGCTTATCATATCAGGAGAGAGAGAGCTTACAAAACTTTTGTGTGACGACAAATACCTGGAGTTCGAGTAGGTCCTTAATGTAGGTTCATCCTTAGTCCCATCCAAAGAAGTTCAGGATTTAGTTGAGTTCTGGTGCTAGTTCAAGTTCAGTTAAGTTCAGCTGCTAATCCAAAGGTTGATGTAGGAAGTGGCGATAGTGGAGAGCCCGTACACATTCATACAAAAGTTCACATTTGCTGACAGGGGGGAAAAGCCTCTGTTGTCATTGTCCCCTCATGTTTATAAGGGAACCTTATAAGGGTTTCTCCTGGGTTTTTCCTATGATTCTACCTGGAGGTTTAGTACTTTGGGCCCAATGATCGAGTTTCACTTGTTACTTCCAAGTGACGCATATGAGGCGTCACTTTAAACAAGGAACTAAGTCCATGCAAAACATTTTAATTGCTGAGTCAATCAACAATTTCTCGAAATGCAAAATTATCTTATTCCGAACAACAAACATGTTATAATAATTTATAATGCTTTTATAATAAAGGTTTCCTGTAAATGCGGTTCTCACAATTATATTTAATAATAACCTAATATTCAATGAAGCTCCTTTGGCTAAAATAATTTTGTAAATGCAATCTGGCATTGATTATATGAGTTTTTGGAGGACACTTATTTCCTCCTCATGATGAATTATGGCTTGGTTTAGTTCCTCCACACTATTATATTGCTGCCTATTTGCATATAAAACTGTAGCCACAATCCCCAAAGATTTTCCATTGGATTGAGATCAGTAGATAGAGTTGGCCAATCAATAATAGGCACCCCATTAACTAAAAATCCATTCATATGTAGAGTTTGCTGTGTGAATGGGAGTATTGTCCTGTTGAAAGAACTATTAATTACTTAATACAATCTGCAAAGAGCAAGAGATTACTCACCAAAATGTCTTGATAATCATTTGCTTTTGTATGCCCTTATAAAAAAGTAAGTGGAGTCTTTCCTTGCCAATAAAAATCACCTCACACCTTAACTGAGCCACCACCTTGTTGTTTGAAATATAGTCCTTCCTCCCTTCTCAAATCATACCAGTAGTTACTCCAACTATCCAACTATCATGTTTGAATTTTTTCTGGTCATTCCAGATGATTTGTTTCCATATGTCAGTCCAGATCATTTTTTCCTTGGCCTATAGTAAATGTTTCTTTTTGTGAGTGGGCTTTAGTGATGGGGCAGGTTTTCTTGACTTATATACAAGTTTCTGGCATGTCTACACAAGTCTTCTAATAATTGATTTGCCAACATTACACTTTGGCATTGCTACTAACTTCTGAAAAGATGTTTTGTTGCTGGCAATCTACCAAACAATGGTTTGTTTTGTCCTGTTTGTAAGCTTTGAAGGGCATCCGGTTGTTTTCTTTTGACTGTATTGATTTCCAAATTTAATAAAGTTGTGGATTACNGTTGTATTCAATAAATTTATTTATTTCAATCTAATAATTACATAATAGAATCAAAAATGATATACAGCCATACCCTTACTCCCTGATTTTGAAGTCACTCTACAACAAATGACATTCTTCAGTACTCATTGCAATATCCAAATCAAATAATCCTAGTATTACAAATTTCTTTGAAGCACACTTGTGAAAAATTTGAAAGTTGCATTAGTAAAAGTGGAAAGTACAGAATGATTCTGTTCCCAGCACCTGTTTTCATTTGTTTCAGTGGTATTGTGTATGTTCTAGTGATGGCTGTGCAGTTTAATGGTTTTTTTTTCACAAAATTTCAGTGCAATCTTAGGAGCTTATTCTTGATAGGTTCACTACATTGTGATAGGTTCACTACATTGTTTATTTTTATTGTTAAACAAATGATAAAGCTGGATTCATTATTGGTCTATTAACTATACAAGTTATAGATCAATAACAAATTTAGCTTTATCATTTGTTTATTAATATAATTTGGGCTTGATTTTCTATATAATTTTCATTTTTGTTCTGTTTTTATATGGTAATATTTAAACATAAAATGTATGTATGGTATCATTATAAAATTTTCATCACTATCTACTACATATTACAGAAAGTGCAATTTATATGGAATTTCTAATGTAAATATTAAACAATCTGATTCATTGAGTAACTACCTACAAACATATCCTTTAATGATCTCATTAAGGAATTGAGGTAGAGCACTAGCAAAGCCTCTTCTATGTGGCTTACAAAACTGTTCATTCTCAAAATTTGATCAATTGATTTTGATTAAACTTTGCCATTTTCCATTAATTGCAATTAGGAATCCAAAAACATAATAAAAAAAATGAGGGTCTATGACTTTGTTTTTGAGATACAGTGGGATCAAAGAGACAACATTCATGTTCCCTGATGTGATTGAGCATGGTATTTAGGACCAAAATAAAAAATAGATTGTGCATGCTTAACAGAGAATGAGTATGAAAAACAAACAAAACACAAAAACAAAGCAATTGACACCAACTGCTTTTTCTTAGATTGCCTTTCTGTGTTGGCAAGTGCAAGGATCATCTCTACCATGGCCAGCAGGTGCAAGGATAACCTCTGCATGGCTGGCAGGTGCAGGGATTGTCTCTTTCTTTCTGACTCTGCCTCAATTCTATCATAATATGACAAACTGCACAAAGTCCTAGTTAATAAAATAATTAGTGTTTGTAATGTTTAGTATCATGCTAAAAATATGAATTGATAAACACAGCAAAAACCTATTCACCTAATTGTCACTTGAAAAATTGGTTGGAGTTATTCAAATGAAAAGGAAAAGGGTTAGAATTTTTCCCAATATGTAAATTTCCAATGTTTGAACCATTTTTAAGAATGCATTAAATTCAGATAAAATAAAATAAGACAATATTCTGATGTTGTCTTATTTTATTTTATTTGGTTTTGTTTGTAAAATAATATAACTATACTATAAGTAACACATATGACTACTTTGCTACTTTTCAAATAAAAATGAACATTTAATTATGTATGCTTGAAGATACAAAGTTAACTGACATGTTAATATATCCAAAGTCATGAAAAAGAAATACCATCTAATATTATTTCAATGTGAAGTAACAAATTTATTTTAAAATGATATTGGCTAAACAAATCTTGTAGATAGATTTCTCTTGAAATTTTTAAATGAGTTTTCTAATGATCATGTCACATATGAAACATAATATTTTTGAGGCAATTACATCAAAGACATTATCACAACAGTCTCATTAACATCAAATTTTTATAACAAACTTTATTAAATAATGGCACAAATATTTTACTTAGTAAATATATCTTAAGATATAATAAAAATGTAACATATTTCAATCTAACTGTATTGTTTATATTGCTATATTTACAGTCTCATTAAAGTAATGATAATTTTCCTAAATCAAAATTTCATTAACTCTAAAATTCTTTTTTAACTCTTTCAATTCAACTTATTGAGAGTCAACTGTACTTATTATTAATTTTAATAAGAATTATTTCAAAGAGAAATTTAATAATACATTAATAATAACAACAACAATTACTTACTGCCCATCTATTTTCATCTTGTAAATGACCAACTACATATTTTTCATATATTTCTTCTGCCCGTGAAAGATATTGTGCAGTTTTTCTCCTAACAGCTTCTCTTTGAGCAGAATTTGTATCACCTAAAATACCAAAACAACAACTGTAATCTTATATGAGGAAAAAAAAAATTGCTATTCTTTAAATCAGTGATTCTCAACCACTGTGCCGCAACACTTTAGTGTGCTGCCACTGTGAATACCCATACATAAGCAACATCAGACAAGTAGTTCAATCAGTTCTAACTTCGGGCACATTTGAAAATTGTAATTGCCGGTAGTTACCAAGTGATTATTATATTAGAAAATGTGACCTAAATAACCAACTGCATTTAAAAATCACTGTTATGATATCACCAGTTGTCCTACGGTACTTGCTGAAGTAACTGTGTGTGCTGGCAAATTTTTAAATTATTAAAAGTGTACCATGACAAAAAAAAGGTTGAGAATCACTGCTTTAAATTTACAAATATACTGTATACAATATATATTTAATTTAATTTAATTTATTTGTTAAAAATTTTTATCTCTACTTTTTAACAATATGATCTTTTACAATAATTTTTGGTGATATCTAACTTATTTGAAAATATAAAATTATATTTTTATTAATTCTTAATATAAGTACAGTTGAAACATGTATGCAGATTATTATTTATATATTAATTTTTATTGTTGTGTTAATATTTATAAACATTATTTTCAAAATATATTTTACTGAATATATTAACGAATTCAGCAATGTGAAATGAATTTAATCCAAGTAAAATTGATCATTCTTCCAGAAGATATTTTCAGACTTATNGAGACTTATATCATCAGCAGTTTGGCAATGTTCCCATATACCTCCTAATAAATTACTAGGTTCAGCAATGTGTTTTTCTTCTCTAAAAGAGTGGGGAAAAAAATTAAAATATTTTAAAAATCAATAAGAGTTTTAAAATCTGTAATCAAATTTTAAAATGTTTTGGCATCACTGAAAGATTATTAGTTAACTAATTGTAAATTTAAACAAATAATTATTGAAAATTCAAAAAAAAATTGTAATAATTTAGTAATATTAAATTTTTACTTTTTTACTACTTATATAATTATTAAAATGCATCCCATAAATATAAAGGCACTAATAGATATCTGTATAAAATCATTCACATTGAAAACTCTGCAAAAATAATTTATTTTTGGCTTGCTTGAACTTTTACAAATGCACATATTTCACTAGGATATTGCACAACTTTGTTGTATAGCCATAGAATTGAGGCAGAGCCAGAAATCAGTGATCCCTGCACTTTTTAGGCACATAAGAAGCTATTATTGTACCTGACAGACATGGACAGGTAAACTTTGCACTTGTGCCACAAAAGAGGCTATTCTTGTATCTACTGGCAATGGGAAACACGATCCTTGCACTGGCTGGGTATGAACAAATGATCCTTGTGCATGCCAACATGGAGAGGTGATCCAAGAACAAAGCAGTTAATGACAATTGCTTTGTTCTTGTGTTTTGTTTGTTTTTCATACCTATTTTCTATTAAACACAGGCAATACTGTTTTTATTTTTGATCCCTAGACCTAAATTTCATTAGGTGCATTCAGTTGCATCAGAGAGCATGGACATTGTCACTTTAATATCTTTGTATATCAAAAACAAAGTCATAGACTCCTATTTTTACCTTCCTGGCTCTATATATAACAGAAGAAAAGTATGGCAATTGGTCAAAAAATGACCCTCCAAGATTTTTACATTTTTGGACTCAATGCACCTTGAAATGTCAAGAAATGCAAAAACATTCAAGAGTTTTTTCTGTATGTATGCATGTTAATGTGTGTGTGAAGGGGCATGATTTTGTTCACCCTCTTTGAAGCTTAATAATGCCTGTGCTTTCTGCTGAAAATTTCTGAAATTTTGCAAGCAGGTTTGTTTATTAGGGGGATTGATGCTATTAAATTTTCATGATTAAAGGTTGATAGGTGGGGAGATAAAGGAGAGTTGTGTGATATCTCGAGTAGAGCCAGACATGATGACAATTTTATTCATTATTAGCATTTACAATTTTTTGTAAAACCCATCCCTACCCTCAAAATTAAGCTTTTTGCCATTTTATAATAATTAAAAATATAAAAAGTTTTTAAATGAAATATTGTAACAGATAGTGCCACACATGCAGTTCTAACTGGGACAGTTAAGCAACTTGTCATTGGATTTTTTTACATTTAAAAGGACCCACATTACATTTCTGAATTCCTCATCTCAATTAATGGAAAATAGCAAAGTTTTATCAAATATGCCCATTAAATTTTGAGAACAAACTTGATTCTATAAGCCCACAGAAGATGTGCTAATGACTGTAAAACATCGCACAACTTTGTTGTGCAATTCATATGATATTGCTTTGTCACTGGCACTTGTGAAATGGCCTTATATTTCAAAAATGAAACCATGGACTCCCACTTTTTATTACATTTTTGGATTCCTCATCACAATTAATATAAAATGGCAAAGCTTAACCAAAATTGATCAAACATATTTTGAGAACCAACACAATTCTGTAAGCCATATAGAAAAGGCTTTGCTATTGCTCTGCCTCAAAAATAATAACTATTTATTGAGACAGAAAAAATAAACAATTTTAAAGAATTACAATCAATTGGACTGCCCCAAAAATATAAAAACATATAACAAATTTAATTGAAACAATGATATGTTAATAAATTATGTGACAATGCCGAAGGACCCTCTCCCATACTTTGGCACCACAGGACCGAAGGGTCAACATCGTGTCGGCAAAGACCAAAATGACAAAGTTGTCAGGACTGACACCACTGTGTCTTCTGAGTAGACACAGAGACCGTTACATTTGCAGGTACATGCGAGCAGTTGCGTCTGTGGAAGCTTAGGGTTGGAATGGAGATGGTGGGAGATACCTGGAAGAAGTGCACTCCAAGAGGATATTCATTTAAGAAATACCCATTTATTGAGAGATGCTATTTACAGGATTTAAGACTGAGGGTCTAGCTTTCTCGCTAACTTGAGTAACCATCAAGGGGGAAGCTTATCATATCAGGAGAGAGAGAGCTTACAAAACTTTTGTGTGACGACAAATACCTGGAGTTCGAGTAGGTCCTTAATGTAGGTTCATCCTTAGTCCCATCCAAAGAAGTTCAGGATTTAGTTGAGTTCTGGTGCTAGTTCAAGTTCAGTTAAGTTCAGCTGCTAATCCAAAGGTTGATGTAGGAAGTGGCGATAGTGGAGAGCCCGTACACATTCATACAAAAGTTCACATTTGCTGACAGGGGGGAAAAGCCTCTGTTGTCATTGTCCCCTCATGTTTATAAGGGAACCTTATAAGGGTTTCTCCTGGGTTTTTCCTATGATTCTACCTGGAGGTTTAGTACTTTGGGCCCAATGATCGAGTTTCACTTGTTACTTCCAAGTGACGCATATGAGGCGTCACTTTAAACAAGGAACTAAGTCCATGCAAAACATTTTAATTGCTGAGTCAATCAACAATTTCTCGAAATGCAAAATTATCTTATTCCGAACAACAAACATGTTATAATAATTTATAATGCTTTTATAATAAAGGTTTCCTGTAAATGCGGTTCTCACAATTATATTTAATAATAACCTAATATTCAATGAAGCTCCTTTGGCTAAAATAATTTTGTAAATGCAATCTGGCATTGATTATATGAGTTTTTGGAGGACACTTATTTCCTCCTCATGATGAATTATGGCTTGGTTTAGTTCCTCCACACTATTATATTGCTGCCTATTTGCATATAAAACTGTAGCCACAATCCCCAAAGATTTTCCATTGGATTGAGATCAGTAGATAGAGTTGGCCAATCAATAATAGGCACCCCATTAACTAAAAATCCATTCATATGTAGAGTTTGCTGTGTGAATGGGAGTATTGTCCTGTTGAAAGAACTATTAATTACCTAATACATTCTGTGAAGAGCAAGAGATTACTCATCAAAATGTCTTGATAATCATTTGCTTTTGTATGCCCTTATAAAAAAGTAAGTGGAGTCTTTCCTTGCCAATAAAAATCATCTTACACCTTAACTGAGCCACCACCTTGTTGTTTGGAATATAGTCTTTCCTCCCTTCTCAAATCATACAAGTAGTGACTCCAACTATCCAACTATCATGTTTGAATTTTTTCTGGTCACTCCAGATGTCAGTCCAGATCATTTTTTCCTTGGCCTATAGTAAATGTTTCTTTTTTGTGAATGGGCTTTAGTGATGGGGCAGGTTTTCTTGACTTGTATATAAGTTTCTGGCATGTCTGCATAAGTCTTCCAATAATTGATTTGCCAACATTACACTTTGGCATTGCTACTAACTTCTGAAAAGATGTTTTGTTGCTGGCAATCTACCAAACAATGGTTTGTTTTGTCCTGTTTGTAAGCTTTGAAGAGCATCTGGTTGTTTTCTTTCGACTGTATTGATCTCCAAATTTNCAACTGTAATCTTATATGAGGAAAAAAAAAATTGCTATTCTTTAAATCAGTGATTCTCAACCACTGTGCCGCAACACTTTAGTGTGCTGCCACTGTAAATACCCATACATAAGCAACATCAGACAAGTAGTTAAATCAGTTCTAACTTCCTAGGGCACATTTGGAAATTGTAACTGGTGTTACCAGTAACTGCCGGTAGTTACCAAGTGATTATTATATTAGAAAATGTGACCTAAATAACCAACTGCATTTAAAAATCACTGTTATGATATCACCAGTTGTCCTGTGGTACTTACCGATGTTAACGTGGGTGCCGCCAACTTTTTAAATTATTAAAAGTGTACCATGACGAAAAAAAGGTTGAGAATCACTGCTTTAAATTTACAAATATACTGTATACAATCAAAGTCCTAGTTAATAAAATAATTAGAGTTTGTAATGTTTAGTATCATGCTAAAAATATGAATTGATAAACACAGCAAAAACCTATTCACCTAATTGTCACTTGAAAAATTGGTTGGAGTTATTCAAATGAAAAGGAAAAGAGTTAGAATTTTTCCCAATATGTAAATTTCCAATGTTTGAACCATTTTTAAGAATGCATTAAATTCAGATAAAATAAAATAAGGCAATATTCTGATGTTGTCTTATTTTATTTTATTTGGTTTTGTTTGTAAAATAATATAACTATACTATAAGTAACACATATGACTACTTTGCTACTTTTCAAATAAAAATGAACATTTAATTATGTATGCTTGAAGATACAAAGTTAACTGACATGTTAATATATCCAAAGTCATGAAAAAGAAATACCATCTAATATTATTTCAATGTGAAGTAACAAATTTATTTTAAAATGATATTGGCTAAACAAATCTTGTAGATAGATTTCTCTTGAAATTTTTAAATGAGTTTTCTAATGATCATGTCACATATGAAACATAATATTTTTGAGGCAATTACATCAAAGACATTATCACAACAGTCTCATTAACATCAAATTTTTATAACAAACTTTATTAAATAATGGCACAAATATTTTACTTAGTAAATATATCTTAAGATATAATAAAAATGTAACATATTTCAATCTAACTGTATTGTTTATATTGCTATATTTACAGTCTCATTAAAGTAATGATAATTTTCCTAAATCAAAATTTCATTAACTCTAAAATTCTTTTTTAACTCTTTCAATTCAACTTATTGAGAGTCAACTGTACTTATTATTAATTTTAATAAGAATTATTTCAAAGAGAAATTTAATAATACATTAATAATAACAACAACAATTACTTACTGCCCATCTATTTTCATCTTGTAAATGACCAACTACATATTTTTCATATATTTCTTCTGCCCGTGAAAGATATTGTGCAGTTTTTCTCCTAACAGCTTCTCTTTGAGCAGAATTTGTATCACCTAAAATACCAAAACAACAACTGTAATCTTATATGAGGAAAAAAAAAATTGCTATTCTTTAAATCAGTGATTCTCAACCACTGTGCCGCAACACTTTAGTGTGCTGCCACTGTGAATACCCATACATAAGCAACATCAGACAAGTAGTTCAATCAGTTCTAACTTCCTGCGGTGNAAAAAAAATAAAATAAAATCTTTAAGGCTACTTTTTATTAATAAAGAAACATCTCGGGCAACATCGTTACAACGGTCAGGAGAAACACAGCCAGTCACCACCTGAAGCAGACCTCGGTGGAGGTCGAAAGCATTTTGGAGTTTACTATGGACATAACACTTGTAAAAAAAGGTTTTGTGGATTGTTAATAAAGAAACATTCCATGAATTTCACTTCTTGAAAAAAAGGAGGGGACAAAACTGGTCCACTCTATTCTGGCCCCCAACAAGCTATCCACAGCTCTGTATATAAACTTTGCAATGAATTTTCATATATTTTATGCATTTATTATCTTTTAAAGTCACCTAGATTATGGGTCAGGTAATGGATTTGTTTTTCTTCTAATGAGTCTATTCTAACATGTTAAAAAATATAATTTTTTCACAAAAAAATTCAAATTCAATTTCTGAAAGAAAAGAAAAAAAAATTAAATACCAAATTCAAAAATAAATCAAATTAAATTGCATTATCATCAGGCATGATTGTGACAGCCGCAAACTTTAAACTTGACGGAAATTATAGTACTTATGTTTGCATTTAAAGTATTATCGGAATTAAAATTAGAAACATTTATAATTCATACAAATGTAAAAACAATTATAAATTTAAGAAACACATGACTAAATCAATATCGAAAAAAAATAAACAAACAAACAACTAACGAACGTATAACACACATCCGTCATTAATTAATAAAACTTTCCGTATTATATCGAGTTAGTTCTAACCTTAGAGACAACTTTATAAACAGTATATCCCTTTTTGTGTTTTCTTGGTTCGGTTACATCGAATACCCTAACCCACGGATCATTATCTTTCCTCGACATCTTTCTTCCATCACGTGGTTTTCGAAATCGACATTGCACCGACAGATGGCGTTTTTTGTAATTTGATTACATTTGGTTGGTGCATAAGCATGCTTTTTGTTGTTATTTTGAATCTTGTATTATTTACTGTAAATATTACGTAAATACTAGAAGAAGAAGAAGAATATAGATATATTACGTAAAAATGAATGAACTGAGGAAGAGATTTCCCTTGTTGATGCCAGTAAACCATAATTTAACAGAATTTTATGGTTATATTAAAGTTTTGGTGAGTTATATTTTAAAATTTTAATAATGTTTTTCTTATATTATCAATTTGAAAAATCTAAATATTATAACATTTTCTTTATTATAGAGCAGTTGCTCTATCATTAATCTAAATTTTTCTTTTTAACCCTCTTTTCTTCATACATTACTTATATATTTGACTATAATACAATGTGTCTCCTCCATTCCTGAACTGACCACCAGATAATTGAATGAAGAATAACAATACACAAATAATTTTAAATNATACCTCGACTTACGTCGTTTCGAGTTACGTCGTTCCCGATTATACGTCGTTTGTCAAAAAAGTATATGGAAAAATAAAAATCAAGTTTAGGTCATTTTATTCGACTTTACGTCTGTCTGCCACAAATATTGAAGTCGTAATATCATCAGAAAAGCATTTAAAGCATATAAAATCATATTAAAATATATACATTTACAAGAATGTACTGTATTTACAGTGCATTTGTAAATTTAGATTACTTTTTTTCTGTACTATATTAAAAACTAAAATTTATTTGTTTGTAAGCTTAAAATAGATCCTTATTAACCATACATTATTAAAAATGCATTAATAAATAAAATGCAGAACCGGAATTGGCAATTTATGGTTTAGCATAGTGACAAGTAGATTTGGAGACAAGTAAATTCGACTTACGTCGTTTTNGTATAACACACATCCGTCATTAATTAATAAAACTTTCCGTATTATATCGAGTTAGTTCTAACCTTAGAGACAACTTTATAAACAGTATATCCCTTTTTGTGTTTTCTTGGTTCGGTTACATCGAATACCCTAACCCACGGATCATCATCTTTCCTCGACATCTTTCTTCCATCACGTGGTTTTCGAAATCGACATTGCACCGACAGATGGCGTTTTTTGTAATTTGATTACATTTGGTTGGTGCATAAGCATGCTTTTTGTTGTTATTTTGAATCTTGTATTATTTACTGTAAATATTACGTAAACACTAGAAGAAGAAGAAGAATATAGATATATTACGTAAAAATGAATGAACTGAGGAAGAGATTTCCCTTGTTGATGCCAGTAAACCATAATTTAACAGAATTTTATGGTTATATTAAAGTTTTGGTGAGTTATATTTTAAAATTTTAATAATGTTTTTCTTATATTATCAATTTGAAAAATCTAAATATTATAACATTTTCTTTATTATAGAGCAGTTGCTCTATCATTAATCTAAATTTTTCTTTTTAACCCTCTTTTCTTCATACATTACTTATATATTTGACTATAATACAATGTGTCTCCTCCATTCCTGAACTGACCACCAGATAATTGAATGAAGAATAACAATACACAAATAATTTTAAATAATTACATAATTAAGTTGGTTTGAGTTGCAAAACAGACTATAACAGTGATCCAAAACTAAAATGATAAAGGTCTTGAAAAATGCTTTATCTGGATAAATTGCTGATTCCTAATATTACAAGCATTTGTTATTTGGATTTATGAAATATATCATTTTTACATCATTATTAATTTTTAACAGATAAACTTAGGATATAAATTAATTCATAAAGTTGTAAAATGCTTTTAAATATGATTGCTATTTAAATAAACATTTGAAAGCCCAATATGTATATATATAAAAATGGAACATGTATGTCCCTATATTTCACTTTTTTGCCAAAACTACACATCGCACGTGAATGGTGTTTGTATGTGGTGGTAGCCCCAAGTCTCCATTCGTCAAATAATTCTGCTGCACACTAATTTTGAATTGTGAACATATTTTGAATGTATGAAGGCTTTTCTATCATAAAATCACTTAATTCAAACACATGTAATTGAAAACCCACTGCATTTCCAATTAACATAAATGAATGTTAAGAATGTTTATATTAGCAGAAATATTTCTACAGTTTTTGAAATTCATTTCAATATAATCAAGATCTTGATGAAAAAGCACATAAGATGCTCAAAAACAACTGATAAGTATTTTCTTTAGAAAACCTTATAGTTTTTTTTTTGATCTAACATTTAATTTTTTTATCCATTATTCTTTTTATATTTGGAATATTAATTTTAAAATGTTACTTTATCTAATATTTTATTAATTGGCTATTTTTATCATTCTCATATAGTACACTTGATGATAATAATAATAAAAGTATATGTCAGGTCATGCAAAAATTATTTTCTTATATTTGTTTATATTTTGCTGCTTGGTTAATTATTAACATCCACTTTTGGAGAATTATATTGAAAATATATAACAAATGCCATTTATTTTAAATATATATATATTACTAAATTATTTCAAAAAAATTGCTATATAATTCGGGGAGGCAACTTATTTACTTCTTATTAATCATCTCATCATCAGACCAAACACCTACATAAATTACAAACTTTTACTCTATTTCTTTAATAAAAATTTTTATCTTGAATCTGATGATTTTGCCTTTTGTAAATTCTTTTTATTACTGATAATGCATGCTAATAATCTCAACTGATACATTGCTTAATATTAAAATGGCATTTAAATTATTTACTAACAATTTCATCGACATCAATCAAAATTCACTTTAAATAAATTAAATAATTCATGAATGAAAGATAAGTCAATGTAAACTAATAGATTAACTATTTAGGGCATTTGATATGTAACTATCAAATGCTCTAGCTATCTATTTAATAGGTTTGGTTCCTATTTGGACCAATATAAATTTTGCTATCTATATCTTGGTTTCTTTCTTTATGTGGACATATGATTTCTACTTTGAATAATTCTTATTTTGTAAATATTTCAAATATACTAAATCTTGATAATTCAAAAAAAAAAAAAAAGATATGATAAGCTATCCATCAAGAGAAGAGGGAGCTGGAGACTTTTTTCCCTTATAAATTAATGTTATTTGTTTACTAACAAAAAAAAAATAAAATAAAATCTTTAAGGCTACTTTTTATTAATAAAGAAACATTCCATGAATTTCACTTCTTCAAAAAAGGAGGGGACAAAACAGGCCCACTCTATTCTGGCCCCCAACACAAGCTATCCACAGCTCTGTTATCATATTTTAAAGTCACCTAGATTATGGGTCAGGTAATGGATTTGTTTTTCTTCTAATGAGCCTATTCTAACAGGTTAAAAAATATAATTTTTTTCACAAAAAATTCCAATTCAATTTCTGAAAGAAAAGAAAAAAAAATTAAATACCAAATTCAAAAATAAATCAAATTAAATTGCATTATCATCAGGCATGATTGTGACAGCCGCAAACTTTAAACTTGACGGAAATTATAGTACTTATGTTTGCATTTGAAGTATTATCGGAATTAAAATTAGAAACATTTATAATTCATACAAATGTAAAAAGAATTATAAATTTAAGAAACACATGACTAAATCAATATCGAAAAAAAATAAACAAACAAACAACTAACGAACGTATAACACACATCCGTCATTAATTAATAAAACTTTCCGTATTATATCGAGTTAGTTCTAACCTTAGAGACAACTTTATAAACAGTATATCCCTTTTTGTGTTTTCTTGGTTCGGTTACATCGAATACCCTAACCCACGGATCATTATCTTTCCTCGACATCTTTCTTCCATCACGTGGTTTTCGAAATCGACATTGCACCGACAGATGGCGTTTTTTGTAATTTGATTACATTTGGTTGGTGCATAAGCATGCTTTTTGTTGTTATTTTGAATCTTGTATTATTTACTGTAAATATTACGTAAATACTAGAAGAAGAAGAAGAATATAGATATATTACGTAAAAATGAATGAACTGAGGAAGAGATTTCCCTTGTTGATGCCAGTAAAC